TTTTTGTAAGAAAAATATCCATATTTCAAATGTAATAAACATTTTTCTCTCACTTCCGCTGACTGTCATCCACTGAAGCAGTTCCGGCGGATGACGCAGCACGTTGGTGTTGCGTGATTAGTGACAAATGCGGAGAGAGAACAAAGCAAAACGCCGGTCACGAATTAGAAGTATAAACCGAGGATTTACAAAGAAAAATGCCGGAGGATTTCGATATAAGCCCAGAGGAGACTGGTTTTCCTTTGCTTGACTTTTCAATACCGACCAGATACAATACTGATTTTGGCGGAAAATACTTTTTTTTTTTTTAAATGGCGTTTATCGCATTTTGAAACCAAACTCTTCATATATACACACACATTTACATTTAGTCATTTAGCAGACGCTTTCATCCAAAGCGACTTACGAATGAGGACAATATAAGCAATCAAAACGAACAAAAGAGTAATAATATGTAAGTACTATGATACAGTAAGTCTTGGTTAGTCTAACGCAGTACATGTAGCAAGTTTTTTTTTATAATAAATAAAAAGCAAACAAGTAGAATAGAATAGACTAGAATATAATAGAATAGAAAAAGAATATGAATGCTGGTGTTAGAGGATCTTCTTTTTTAAATAATGGAATAGTTGGAATATAAATAAAATAAAGAGTGCAAATCTTCAAGTAATAGAATAGAAAAATAATATGAATGCTGGTGTTAGAGGATCTTCTTTTTTAAATAATGGAATAGTTGGAATAGTTGGAATATAAATAAAATAAAGAGTGCAAATCTTCAAGGGTCAAGTGTTGTTTTTTATTATTAAATTAATATTATTACATTTATTAATACATTTGCATTGCCAATCAGAAGTTTGGAATAACTGAGCAGTTGGGTTACACTTTATTTTACGGTGTTCTTGTTGCAGTGTGATTATACCTTTAAGTACTGAGTAATATTAATTAACTACATGTACATTACTATATGGTTAGGGTTAGGATGCGGGTTTGGTTTAGGGTTAGTTGCATGTAATTATGCATAATTTATTGTTATTACTACTATAGTAAGTACATGTAACATCTGTAACGGACACCGTAAAATAAAGTGTTACCAAGAGTTGTGTTGTTTAATATTTTTGTGGAAACCATGATAGATTTTTTCAGGATTCTTTGATATAGAAAAGTTCAAAAGAACAGCATTTATTTGAAATAGAAATCATTTGTAACATTATAAATGTCTTTACTGTCACTTTTGATCAATTTAATGTGCCCTTCAGCTTTGAATCCCAGAAATAAATTACATTTTAAAATATACACAACCTTTCAAAAGTTTGGGATCAGTTAAGATTTTTTTATGTTTTTAAAGAGGATTCTTATGTTTATCAAGGATGCGTTTATTTGATTAAAACTACACTAAAACACTAATATTGTGAAATATTATTATATTATTACTTGATATGTTAGATGTTATATTTATGAAAAAAAAGTGATAGTAAAGATTTCTATTTTGAATAAATGCTGTTCTTTTTAACTTTATTCATCGACTTTTTATTCGTCTTTTTTCTGATTTGAAAAACGAGCCAATCCATTACTCAAAAACTGTAATATGGTACAAGTTTTGTGATCCATTGCACCACTGCCTATTAGATCAATAGTGATTCATTTGCAAATCTGGCATCACTAGATCTGATTCTAAAGAGCAGACAGAAAATGCATTTTTGATGCCTGAAATATTATTAGGGTAAATGACTCTCAGGTCAGTGTAATCTCCATTGTCAGACAAGAAATTTAACTGTATGTCACTGGGGTTCGTACCCCAGTAAAAAGGGTTTAGCGATGCCCCTGATTCAGTGGCTCTTGCTCTGCATGTGAACCAAATTTTAGACATACTTTATATTCTATATCCTTTTGGCTTCAGTAGGAGAGACATTGAAAAATGACATTGAAACATTGAGTTGAAAAATGAAAAATGTATAGTTTCTTCATACATTAACAAACACTGTATGATTTGCAGAAAAGCTATGCATATGCATTTGCACACGTGTCTTTTTAGCTGTGGAAAAGAAAAACTGAAATGGATTTTATTGATCAGCAGCAAGTAAATTGCATTTGCCAAATAATAAACTGTTGTCTTTTATGATTTTAAGTGTATGTCAGGTTCAATTCCTAACAGATCTGTTGATAATTTCTCATGCCTGTCAAATAAAATTCAAAACGTAAGTAAAAAAAAATGCATACTCTTCTGTGGTGGTGAAAATAAGATGTAGAACTTTATTTTGATGGCATCTTTTAAAACAAAAAGTTTACCGAGTGCTTTACAGTAGACATATGGAAGAAGAAAAATCTTCACAATGTTTTAGGTGATGTGCACCTATCTTTCTGTATGATGAAAATATCTCTGTTAATAAACCATAGAAACAGTTTAACTAACTGTCTTGTTTTCATGTTGTGCATTTTGCTTCTCTATGTGAATTCTTTTCCTTTCTTCTTCCTCTTTAAATCTGTTCTCTTTGTAGATTCT